TAGGGACAATTAATTGGCAGGAAAATATACCATCGTAGTTATAAAATTTATGAATTCAGATATATACAATACGTCGAAATTTTCGAATTGAGTCGATTTTGACGTTCTTTGGTTGTTTCTGAAGTTACTTCTCCTAAACTTTTGTCGTCACAAAGCAACGTGTAAATTTTGCTCCACACATGTTTCCATCACCACTTGGTGATCCCGCTCGATCCTTTATGTACCTATGTATGCATACGTAGGATGGTCTGTTGCTTCCAAGTTGCATTTCATCTTTGAATAACCGGTTTTTTTATTTCAAAAATCAGGAAATATATTCCAAAACACAAATGCTTAATTTAAAATTGATATCAACTTATTGCTGCTGATCGTGTAAACTCATGACAACCTCCTTTCCAACGCCTTTTTCTGTGCTTTGGTGCTTAAATGTTACGATTCATCGATGCCAAATTGGCTTAAGATTTGTAAAATTAAAGTTTTGATGCAAAGCCTTTTATCCGTCTTTAATTTGGGTTCCTTAAGGACAGCCAGCTCTGAGTTTCTGCGTCGTGAACCCACTTGGAATTGTAAAATAAGCAAATTGCTTTACTTTTTTTACTAGAGCATCTATGGAGCCTTGGACAGGCCACCTGAAATTAACTTCTTTACCTACCTTTTCCTTTCCTTTCAGGGCTAATGTTTAAGGCAAAACAAAGTTTTTACCATATGGTTTGCATATCTTTTTTGAAATAAAAACTCAGCTGTAAAGAAATAAAAGTGCTTACATTAAGTCAAGTTAAAAACACCGAGTTTTTAGAGTGCCACCTATTACTTGCAAGTTGGACATTAAGAGAGGAATAGTATAACTGAGGCGGATTGAGTAAACTTTTAAAACTTTGCACTCAATAGGATTATGAATTAAATTTTCTTTAATGAGAGTAGGCAAGTAACGTTGGAGGTAACCGAGGCTGCCTTTAGTATCTGGACTAGTGCAGATCTTTGGAGTTTCTTTGATTCCACCGGTTAGCTCCAAAGAGGTTCCCATTTATCAACGTCCTAACATATGGCAGTAATCAGTCATGTCGGTTATCCTGTTGGTTTGACCTCAAAACGGGGTCAATCTCAGTGTCTGTCCCCAATTGGGATCACCTGAGGCATCGTCCAAAAGGCTAAAGAAGAATACCGGATACAATTCTGAAAACTACTTAACCGATTAAAGTGAAGTAGTGGAGGGATAAACCAAAAGGAAAATCAAAAACGTGGAAGCGCAAGTATTGGTGAGCGCGCGTTTTACTTCACTGCATTACGTAGGTAAAGATGTCAATTAAAATGAGCATCTCATGTGTTCCCCTCACAATAGACATGCACTCAACAAGC